TAAGCCGTTAGCAGGGTTCTGACCAGCTAAAATGAAAGATTCTGATTTATAATTATCGGTCAAAGTTTATGAGTTACGTGCGCATCAAGGACCGTTTTTCAAACTTTGTTACCAGTCATTCAATTGTTTGTAATTTGAATATGAAAGACATTTTAGGGCGACGTCAGCTTTTATTTTACATTGAGAATTTTTAAATTTTGTCATATATTAGAAATTGCCATTCCGTTACGTATTGAAACTTTTAAAATTCGCAACATTAAGAAGTTGAACGTTACTGGCTTTCTCACACGCTCAACTGTTTTGACATAAATTCAGAGAGCAACTTACAACACACTGTTGTCTTTTTCGTTCAGATAATGCAACAAAAAACATATGACTGATAGTGTTTCTTCTTATTCGAACATAAATAGTGGTTTATTCTGATGCTTTAACTTTGAATTCTGAGTGTTTTTGTTTGTCCTGAAAATAGCCATTATTCTGTAATTTACGCACGTGAATTTCAAACTTCAAGTTTACTAGGAACCTGCAAATTTTTGACTTTATAATACGCCTATGCGATCAACTTAAGACGAAATAAACTAGAATGCAAATAGAACAACAGAAAATTAGAGCTGACATTAATATATTATATAAAAAGAATGTTAATACGCGATGTAACAAGAAGAGCAGGAAGAAGGAGCAAAAGAAGAGAAAGGCGAAACTTTCCTGCTTTGGATAGCACAACTGTCATTATTATAACGTTGTTGCCATTAGAAAAGCAAAAAAAGCATTTAAAAAATTAATCCTCTGTTGCAAATCGCTGACTCAGGTTCTGCAGAATAAGTCACAAAGGATGCCATCTTAGATGGCCTTAATTAAAGAATATTTATGCGTTGTCCTACCATTTATGACATATCAAAGCATCAAATTAATTGTACATGATTATGTACGTACATTGTTAGAATTTACAAAAACAAGAAAAAAAATGTTTCCCTGACCTGAACGGCAATTTTGGCAATGGCACCACTGATAATGGATGAAGCGACCCGTTGAATTTCAGTCTTTTCTTAAAGGCTGTTTGCATAAAGCAGAAAATTTATTAAGCGTTTCTTCAATGCAGCCAGACGAGATACAGGTAGCAAGTCGTTGATGCCTGCGAACAAAAGGAATAGTATGTTGTTTTAGTGTGATCATGCCAAAGCATTCGATACATATGGCCATTTATTCTAATGCAAGTGCTTCATAAGGCTGCAATTCGCCATCATGCAGCGATAGCTGCTTATTCGACGTGATAGTCAGTAAACAATGTAACCCATGTTGCTACCAGTAATTTTCATTAAGTCGGTTACAGGATAAGCCAGGATAACTTAGGACATAACATAAGCTTTTCAAAATCTGCTTGAATCTCAAACCTGACATTTAACACACCTACACATTAAAACTGTTTCCGTTTCCGATCAGGCATTTTGTTAACGTAGGGCTTTTATGTTTGGAGATGTAATAGCAGAGGATGAATCAAGTTAAAATATTTCAGTACCTTTTTCTTCATTTACACACTGTCAATTTGCAACATAACTACAATCTCAAAGTTATTATAAACCTGGAATAGCACGAAATGGTAATAGTTGGAAAATCTGGTCAATTTTCAAGCTCTTTGGTCACAAGTTTTGCTGACATGCAGCATGCAGGTTGCGACGCATGAAGAAAAAAACCATGAAAGAGACCGCACTGTGCGACTTCATTCATTCCAATGACATCAGTAAACCAGCAATAGGAAAATATTGCTCGCTTCCATTGCATTTTGCAACCTACACGATAATAGGGCTGAGAATGGAATCTACCTTTCCACAGAAGTCCCCCCGGTGGCTTGCTTCGATCAGGTTGTAGTTGCTGTACGCCATAACAATCTCCGTTCTAGCGAAATGCCAAGAATGACGGCTGAATAACGTTTACTTCGATGTATCATGAGGAGCGAAGCATCATTAAAAAAAATGACTGTTCTATCCTACACACAGGTACTTTCGTAAAACAAATGATCAGCAAGAAAATCAGCCAATTTTGCCAAAATGATTTAGCATTAGCTGAGCTACGAGCGGTCAGTTTTGCAAAGAAATAGGCAATACAAGACGTACAGTTCGCTCAAGATGTATATTTCGCTGCTAAAAGAACAAAATCAGCAGCACAAAAAATGAATGAATAGATGTTATACTGAATGTAAACAACAGATCATGTCAGCACCAGAAAAATACCGATCGTTGCTACCTCTTAAACAGGTGCATAGATTGACGGTCCACACCATATATCGAAAATCTAGCTGCAAAACATATCTACACCTTCTGTTTTAACTCCATATTTATGTAGAATAAACCAGGGTTTCTCAGTCGGTAGACCGTCACACTCAGAGCAGAGAGGTCCCGGGTTCGATACCTGGTCGAGGCACTCGCCTTCATTCTGAAGTTGAAAGGTACCAGTCGACTGTAATGAAACAAGAGTCTATGCATTATACTACATAACTGCTGTCAACTATGTTCAAGTAAGGTATTCGTGGCGGATGGCAGGGAAATGGAGATTAGCGCCCATTACTAACTTTATGAACATGTGTCAAAAACAGCCCATCATGAACGTATAAGAAAAACCGATATTCTAACGGTTACAAGCGATTCGTCATACTCAAACCGGTTAAGGTTAAGTACTGTACCAGTGCTTCTGTCACAATATTAGGTGTAAGGAACAGCAAACGAAGTTTATTTAAGCGTAAATTTTACTGTTGAAAATCAGAAATACAAAAAATGTTCATGCAAAGCAACTAAAAAGTATAGAAGCTGATGAGTCTAAGAAAAAAAATTTCCTGTAAAAAATGTTGAGTTGATCAAGTAAATTACAATTCTTTTGATGACGATCAACGCTGCAGACGATTCACGGCGCCGAGACGGTGGTGCTGGAGCCCTTCATAGAAGCAGCGAGAAGATTTTCCATGACAGTGCTGTCGACTTTGTGTTTCGACTGAACTTCCTCGTCGCGGGAAGCAGCTCTCAGTTCACGCCGCAGCTGCGCGATCTGCTGGACCACGGCATTCAGATTTTGCTTCTCCATCGACTCTTTCCACTTCTGCAATAAGGCGCGGTTTTCGCTGTTCAGCCGAGTTGCCTTATCAACAAATCTTGCGCGCATCTCGTCACTCAGCGCTTTCCATTTCAAAACCGAGGTTTTCAAAAAATCTCGGCTCATTTCGCTCGGTTTCGTCTTCGTCTTGAGCTCATGCAGATAAAGCGACAGCGGAGAATGACGCTTTAGCTCTGGGTAGTTGTACTGCTTCTGTAGGCGTTCAAGCTCCATATTCAAGTACAACTCCTGAAATTTTCCTCGCATCGCAGCTGACCGAGTCAACTCGTCGATTTGCTGCACCACGTTACCCAGCTTTTTAGCTTGCATGGTGTTTTTCCATTTCGTTAACGTGTCATTGTACGACGACTTTGCCATCATTATTCGTTCTCTCAGCTTATTCTTCTCAGCTTCAGGCATAGAACGCCATTTGTTCGCCAACTGTTTCATCGAAAATTTGTTGATGCCTGCGTTCTGCTTCAACTCTGATGCATTCTCCTTTAGAAACAGCGTATACGCATTTGTAGTAGGATATTCGGGAAAAGAAAACTTCTTTTTCAGGTCCTCTAGCGCTTTTCGGATCACCGATGTCTTTACTTCTACAGTTGAACCTTTGATGCTAAGAAAAATTATGAAATTAATATTCTTTATAATTCTTTGTTCATTTGAATGCAGAGATGAAACAAAACAGTGAGATCCCTGGGAATGGTTTCTGGAAGGCTTTTGATCTTCTGGATGCAGTGAGGATCATAAGAGACTCAGGGGCTGAAGTTTACGAAAGATACATGATTGGTGTATGGAACAAGCTTGTCCGTCCTTATTTAGTCAAAACTTGATCCCGGCTTTAAAAATTGATTACACTGCTGAAGCAACAGAGCAAGTGATCGCTCTCGCCTCACAACTTGATTCTGAGGCTGACGCTGAAGATGTTATGCAGCTATTGGACTTAAACAACGAAGAGCTCATAACAGATGATATTATAGAAATTCATAACCATAATGTTGTCGAATAAGCTGAAGATGCTGAATCAGAACGGATAATCATGATGACAGTCGGAATGTTAACTGAAGGCCTTGAACTGATTGAAGCCTGTCTAAAGGTTCTAAACGAAATCGTTTCGAAATAAGACTCAGCAGCAATTCCTAGAGAAAGAAGACGGCGATCGCACGTTACAAAGAAATACAGGTGAAAAAATTTTTATCCCGCTATACTTCATAGCTGGACCTTTTAAAATCATCCGCCAATAATTAACAACTATTGTATGTTCACTTTATTTTACTTAATGTGTATCTTCCATTAAAAATGTCAATGTTATAATGCTAAATGTTATACTTCGACTACAATTGTTGCATTTTTATTGATCGAACTGACTTTCAAGAACCAATTATATTACTTTAGCATGGAATTGTATGAACTTTTTCTCGACAAGTCGTTTGACTTAAGTCGCCGATTATCGAACCATCTACAACGCAACTTTGGGGTACTACTGAATTAACAACCGTGATCTACATAATCATAACTTCATGGAGTAAGTAGTTATCTACAACTGAACGGCGGACAGAATTATCTGAAACGGTTTCATTATTAGTTTAACAAAATTTTAATCTAAATTAAACAATCGTGGCATTATAGTGCGACAGAAAAGGTACCACAGGAACGACAGAGCCAGAGGGAGCTTATAATCAGAAACTGGAACATATCTTCACTCAGAGGGCAAGACCAGGAGCTAGTTGATGAGACCGCAAGTGAAAACACCTCCAGATCGATATCAGGTCAAGCTGAAGAAATTCGCTGAATCAAGAAGGATGAAAATGGCAGAAAACAAGTGTATAGCAAAGACCTGGAGAGGCCTTCTTCCAGCAGTGGCTCGGTACTGCTAATATTCATTCATTCATCCTCCATGACCACTTCTTTCGGGTCGTGCAGGCAGACGCGTCAGACAGTGCTTCCAACGTTGCCGATCCTGCGCCAGTGTCTGAGCTTCGGCAAAAGACAAATGGAGT